AAAATCCACGATTTTGATTGGTTATCACCTCTTCGGAGATTTTCGTAATTTGTGTAACTAGAACGGTCGCTCCTGGACTGCTATGTACTGTCCGTAAAGTCCCCTTATTTTTCGTCTGATGTTCTACTCTGACCAATAAAAATTGAATTAAGAATTTGCAAAATATCTGACAATTTCTTAGCTGAAATATCATCCTTAATTAAATATGCATCTTTACATTTCAATATTTTCTGGCTGTAGTAATGTCTCGACCGACTCCCGTTTTCTTATATGATAGATCCTTGAAGCTTACAAATTCATTTAAAGATAAACAAAGTGCTGGCAAATTTCTTAGACGAAAGAAATTAGGAAGACTTATTGATACTGGCAGATTATTGCGTAGAAAATGGTATCTATATTCAAAACAATTGAATCCAAACAAAATTGCTTGTTATAAATTTATAGAAAAAAATGTTGCAAGTAAGTCAATTTATTCAATTTATTCGGTAAATTAACAAGTTTTAGCCATTGTTATTCATCGAATTATTGCTTTATTATCAATATTGATATAATTAGAGGAAATGGCAAAAATAATTTTATCAGAACAAAAAAAAACTATTCACGTTTACGACGATCGATATCAATTTCTATATTCTGCTAAAAATATTCATGAAGTAGCAACGAGTTTAAATATATGCCCTACCCTCATTAAACTTCATTTAAAGAAGACTAGACCATTGATGGTTAAAAATTTGGACAAAAATTATTACATTGTAACTGAACTTGTAAAAATTAATGGAATGGATACGGAAGAAAAGGTGAATTATCTTAAAAGTGCGATTATTATGTCTTCCACGGATGTTGAGAACAACAAGGAAATTTCTAATGGCTCTGAAAGTTCTCCTTTATCATTACCGGAACCAGTATGTAATATTATTTAATGGAAGCATTTATAATTTACTTAATTTGATATTAATTAAAAAATTTTATTATTATTAATGAATTTAGGAATTCTTTGATTCTATTCGTCGTTTCGCCAGCGATCATTTTACAAATGCTTATAAATTCCCTGAAATATTTGGCCAAATGGATGAATCTGCTTTATTGACAATGGGTGAGTTGATATAATGGATATTACAGTTTGTATATAAGCATTTATTGAATACTCATTTTCTTCCAGGAGTTCTGCTACAAGAGTATATTAGGAATATATTATCAAATTCCTCATGAATCAATTATATTGAAAAAGTTGGGAATAGAAAGATTCTAAATTTTTGAAATACATTCAGCATAATAAACATTAATTTATAGTGCATAGCAATTTTTTTTTTCAAAAAAAAAAAAAATCTTTAGATGATTAAATACAAGCAAAATTAATCATTTGGTTCTCATAACCCGTTTGGGTCAATTTTGCTAAACTTAAATAATCAAATATACAGTATTTATAAATATTGCATGCAAATCATTCTCGTTATAATGAGATTTATATCGGATCAAAATAAGTGGGCGTCTCGAAATAACGCATAGGTGGATAAGATAAATTTGTTTAAGAATTGATTAAAACTTCTAAAAAGATCTATATATAGTATATCATGCTTATAATTTGTTAAAGCACATGATAGATAATATATATAGGCAGGGGAGCAGAGTTGTCATTAGTTAATGTCCAAATAATTTTTCGGAATAAATTTAGATAAATTCAATAATACCCTGCCTTACTATTTGTTGTTCATGCCTACCTTCATTATAATTTCCCACGAGATCATATCATGACCGGGAATCTTCCATGAGAAGATTCCCGGTCACAAATAA